AAGTTCCCCAAAACCCCAAAACCCCAAAACCCCAAAACCCCATAGGATATTTTTTGTTTAAGTGTAGGTGAATAGGAATGCTTCAAAATTAGTAAACCATCATATTATAGTTTGCGCAAGGACTTGAATGAACAAATAAAGTAACACAATACTTAAGACACTCGTGAATCCATCAAATAAAATATAAAATTTATTAATGAGTACTGATAAAGTCTAAGATAAAGATTAAATCCTAAGTAAAGTTGAAAATATAGAAAAGCGTTGGAACGTATTTTCAAGATTGGAGAAATAATCTTAATTCGTTAAAATCCTAACTAAAGTTTACAAAAGAGATGCTTTTAAATTTCTCTTTGGTCTTGATAAAAATAGCTGAAGATTTCTTATGGAAAAATTTAAAATGCTATCAGATTTGTTGATTAATCTCAACTTTAATTTGAGGATTGATTACAATAAGTTCAAATTTCTGTTAGAAACTATTGGTCAAGAATATAATTTTCAAATGATAGTTAAGAAGGTTACAATTGACTCGATTGAGAAGTATTAAGAATTATAGTCTCAGCAAGACATGATGAAAAATTGCATCTTGACAGGGATTCAGTTCTCATATTCAGATTAGAGTATTAGTAATGGTTCCAGCAATTCTTAAGCTACAGTAAATACAATTACTCAAATAATTCAACCAAGTCTATTCATCTATACCTTAGAATCCTTTCAATATTTGAAGTACTTGTCCCTGAACTGTGATTGCCTATAACTAGATTAAGATGAAATAAGCAATTTTAAACTTCCAGAGAATATCAAAAAGGTCGGTTTTATTAATATTAGTAATGAGAGTTTAGACCTCCTGGACAAAATTAAATAGATACATAAGCTAGTTCTTACATAAATCAAAAGTGATATTGACGAAAAATTATTCATTGAAAAATTATCAAAGGTTGATACAAATAAACTGTGCATTTTTGGCAAACCCTCATTCAAGCAAGATATATTCAACTAATTGGCAGAAGGAAAATTTAAAATTTTCATAATTGATGTTGTTAATATAACTCCTAAGACCTAAGCGAACTTGCTAATAAATGTTCTTAAAAAGTTTGAACCAAAAAAATTTGCAATATCAAATCCTATTTTAGTTCATATTGATTCTGAAAGCGTTCTTGATATCATTCAGATTCTCAGTTATTATCTTAACTATATCAGATTTGATATTATTGGGATGAATAGAGGGTCTAATTTTTAATAGGAACTAGGGCCAATGAATCCTAATGAATCCAAATTAAAAGCCATATTTTGCAATAAAACAATCAAAGATGATGCTCTCATGATGAAATTGATAATAAAGCTTAACAATATCCCTTCTCTTGAATAGATATACCTGAGATTTAGTTAGCATTAATTTGAAACTAGCTAATTTCTTAGAGCCTTTAATATCTCAAAGGATATTAATATCATGTTCTCCAAGGATAGTATTTATAAACTCGACTATTCAATGGGAGTAAGGAAAAAGGAATTCTACGATTTTTTTAAGTACGAAGGAAAGCTCAGCTAGGACATATATCCTCGTCTGTATAAAAGTCCATTTAAAATCTATTCGTTTTACAAATTTATTTTTACTGATGCTTACATAACCAGAAACGACTTAGGGCGCATTTTTGATCATATTAATAGCAAGGAGACTTAGAATTTAACTTTCACATTTGAGTTTAAATAGCCTTTAAAGATATTATCTAATTTGATTATGGAACTAAGAAGAGGGATGCAACCTTAAAGATTGAACTTTTATAATATTGACAGTACTGAAGAGAATGATAAATTAATGATTTATGCTATTGAGTATCATCCAGAGATATTCTAGAAATGCAATATTCACTATAAGTTTCATAGTCTTTTTGAGCGTTTCTTCGATGAATTAATAAAGCATTAGAAGTTCTCACTAAATTTCAGTAATTATTAGCAAGAAATAAGCAGGGAGTAAGCAATTATTTTACAGAAGGAATGCAAGTATCATAAAATAGAGTTTAATCTTGCTGATAAAAAGAAAGAAGAGAAATAGCTCTCATAATTAGAAATAGAAATAGAGGAAGAAAAAGGTAATGAGGAAAATTGAATATTAAGAAGATACACATGTAAATAACCTTAATTATTTTAAAAAGCATTTACTTGATATTTTCTTATTCGCCAAGATGGGGTTTTGGGGTTTTGGGGTTTTGGGG